CATTGTCATATTAATATTAAAAAAAGTAATATTAATATCTAATAGCACTAAGACATCCGTGCTTGCCCCTTATATGCCATTTTCAAATCTTACTGTTCGATTGTAGGGTTAATAATGCGCATGGAAGAATACGGTTTTGTGAAATGCCGCAAGGGAAATGATAAGAAGCTTAATCAAATCTAAGGTCATGAGAACTTGAAGTGCCGCTTAATCGGATCTGCTCGAGCGACAATATCGTTTACCCTGTACGCCGGGATTGCATAGTGAGCACGCATTAAATCATTAACGGGGTGTGACTTCATTCGGAGGTTACTACCCCCGGGACCGTCTTACATATTTCAACGCCGCTAATCCAACATGATTTTCTCCTGTGCATCACCACCACCATCGCGGCGCACACGGACGCGCGAGTTTAGCTATTTTCAAACGCGGCGTATCAATTTTTGGACGCCTCTCCACAAGCCGTAAAAAGTCTGCAGTGCGTAATAAATCGGACGTTTTATCGCGCGCGCGCGCCACAATAAAATCGCCGAAGAGCACAAGAGCGGTTTGTCGAGCACAGAGCAGTCTCTAACGAGCCTTTACGTAACAGATTTAATTGGCGTACCGACGCGAGCAGCTTTAAGATATGCGTTTCATAGAAACGTACATTTTAAATGTGTTCATAATCGTTGAGGAGCAAAATATAAAATAATCTCAGAGAATCGTTATTGAATAAATGCCTTCTGTCCTCACTTGAATCGAAATATATACGAATTCTGACAACACATTCAAACGCTACATGCTCTCTGAATTTCTCCAAATGGAATCTCACCCAAAATGAAAAATGCAGTATTTTTATTCGAAGCGACAGTGAAAATGCTGTCAATCGAAAACAGAAAAATGAATATTTCACTCAAGCTAGTGTTGGACATCAGTCGATTAAAATTTTCTTTGACTAAAGTAATCAGATAATCAAAATTAATCGATCGTCACGTATAAAATCACAAACACTCGAAATGACAGCGAAAATGCCGCCATTCAAAATCACAACAGTCAATATTTCACTCAAGCTGATGTCGGCCCTTAATCAATTAAAATTTTCTATGACTAAAATCGATAAACTAATCAGCAAACTATACTAAGGAATAAATACTTGAGAAATTATTTGTGGAATATAAAGCTTATTTCTGTGACATAAAGCTCCTTTTTCTGGAGATAAACTGTATATGCTACAAATGTAAATTTTTAATTATTTTTCTCTCTACTGTTTAATTTACTTTGATCCTTTTCACACGGGTGAAAGAAGATATGATTTTATTTGAAAAAGTGAATGAATAACCTTGACTTGTCTTTTTACTATAAAGAAGAACGTATTCGGAATTTTTATTATTTCATCTTATTGCCGTTCAAAAACCGATTAATTGAACTTTTTCTGCCCGCGATCATTGTCACTGATAAAGAACACAGTGGATACCGTCACAATGGATATCCTGACATAATATTATTTCAGCTCAAGAATCACGAGAGCGCACTGCGCGCTGAATGTGTGGTCAGAATCCGGAGCGGACAGAATTCGCTGTTGCGGTCGACCTACCCATATCGTCGATTATAGGCGCCATCCGTAGCGTGACACCGACCAGGAACAGGGACATCGCGAGCAGAAGACAAGCGGTGACGACGATCGTCCATCGTGCACGAGGAGGGAGTTCTTCGGGATCGACGAGCTCCTCTTCCGGGCTGACGACGGACTCGACCTTACATCGTTTACGTTTGCGCTTTCTTCGCGGTCGATGATATCTCTCCTGAAGCTCGTCCACCTTCTCCGGGCCGCTCAAGGTCTCCTCCTCCTCGTCGGCTACGTTCAACGCCACGTAGTCGGCATCGTCGTAAGGAATATTTCTGAAAGGCAAACAAACGGACATGTGTTCCTACACGAGCATTCTCGAGGGTTCGGAAATCCGCCTGGAGAAACGACACGTTCTGGAATCTACCATGCGTGTAAACATCAGGCCGTATCGCCGCAGCCGGGCCATTGTTATTGTTGATCAAGCTGTTATTTCCGATCGCGGCGTTGTTTCGGAAATGAAACGGGCACTCCGGCTGCGTCTGACGTTTCATTTACATTGGAAAGTGATGCTTCGCGCTTGCACATTTCACGCGGCGGCCCCGAGATCATCCCGCCCGAGATAAATGGCTAACAAACGGAAATAAAATGTTGCGAGTTGCACGAGCACGTACGTCAAAAACACACGCGATGGTCTCGCTGAAGCAGCAATCGTTTGATCGAATGAAATCTAGCACTCTCACCTCCACCTCCTCCTCTCCCCTGAAGCTGCCCGCACAACGACACAGTTTCCCGAATAAGACGAGCTGGATCGGCTATTGACAACGTCGCTAATTAAAATCTATAACAGCACACTCCTCGTTCGCGTGCAACGGGGAGCAACGCCTCCAGCGTGTTTTTTAACCAGCCTCGATTGTGAAGGTCCGAAGAAAAAGGACGAGCTGCTCGAACGCGTATCGATCACGGTGGGTATCTGTATTGTTCGCGCAACTCGAGAAGTTGCTGTTTGCTGTACGCGGATGGCGAATGAAAGGACGATCCATTGTTAGGCAGGCACGTACCTCCGCATCAGGACGAATTAGGAGCGTTAGCCCGTTTTTGGCCGAGCTACCGAAGCGAGACACTGAACGACATTCAAGAGAATAGCAGCCGGCAAAAATCGATCAGACACTGAGAGAATGATTTCTTTGGATTCAGTATTCCCGCGCGGAAAAAGATTTGGTCGGATGAACTTATTTCTAGTGAAATATGAACGATATGAAATGGATTTCAAATAAATTCCGAATGAACAATTTCGAAATTACCAGGATCCGTTTGAGTTAATCATAGAGTCAATCTCTCTTCATAATTGATCTCTCTTCAAATTCATAATTTGAACTGAATTCTAAGTGATTTCAGATTTGAAATTTTCGATTAAATTCTAAGATAGTAATTCTATACTAATAATTTGAAACTGAATTTTAAGACTGAATGATAATTTCGGCTAATAGCTTCAATCAAAAGAGTGTGACTAAACGCCTAAAGATATATTTCGCCTCTTTTCCAAAAACTTTGAATACTTTAATTAATAATGTACTGATTTGAAGTTTATGCCAAGTTAAGAATATAAAGTATTGATATTGTTCTCGTAGTTGTTTGATAGATAAACGATCCAAAAGATTGCAATCTTAAGACAGCTGTATTAGCGCGTAAAGTGAACTTTTGTGTTATCAGAGAATAATACGAGAATAAAAGAATTGAGATTTTATATTCTTGATCTGCTTGTCCTAAACTGTTGTATAAGCTGACTGAAATAACATATTTTATGCTGAATATAATTTTGTTTCATTCAAATCAAACTAGTTGCTAGATAGAAAGAACTATTATTTAAAGAAAATAATTTTTGTTCAATCAAATAATAAATTATTCGATTATATTTTAAATATTGTTTTTCGAATTAAATCATGTTTTTAATCGATAAAAACTATTATTTTAAACGTTCGCTCTTCACTCTACTTTATTGTTTGGATTAACCAATATAACGTCTGTTTAAACATTTAAGAGCAATCATGGCGTCATTGACTCGCTAATACATATTCTGCCAATATTTGTTACATATTGACTGTTGTTACATTGTTCTCAATTAATAACAATAAGCATAGTGTAAAAGAAGTTTTTTGGACATTATAAAAATGCATAATAAGAATAATGCTATAAATATATCATAAGAGCTAATTGACATCACTAATTCCTATACGTTGAAGCGAAGCAACCCAAACCGTGATCAGTAAAAAGGATGGATTCACATCACGGGATAATGCAACAATTTGAATGGAAAATCACGGGATAAGAAAGGCGCAGTGATGAAATAAAAGACAGGCCATCAATAACGCAAAAAAAATGTCAAGTTCCTTAAAATTCTTTAAACTTTTATCAACTTTTTAATAAAATAAGAAAATTAAGTGAAACATTTTTCCTCTTTGAACCAAACAATAAATTATGCGGACCAAACAATAAAATTATTTAAGGGGCCAAGCAATCGTATTTGTTGATTCAAAAATTGATTTATTTGATCTATTCCAATAGAGATAAATGTCTTTGAATTCAATAAAATTTATTGAATCCAAAGAAACTGTTCTCTCTGTGCATCTCGCAACTGAGTTCTGAGGAAGTCTCCGCGCAGGAACAGATGAAGACGATGTCTACTTATGCGGCTACTTGAAGCGTGGACTGAACTATTAGATTAGAATTGGAAATGTTCCTCCCTTTTCGACCAAGCAATCAAAGCGAGACACTGAACGATATTGAAAAAATTAAGCAGACACTAAAAATCGATGGTATCCTCGCAACTGAGCGCTGTAAAAGCTGCGCATAAACGGATGAAGATGACGTCGATCTGTGTAGCTGCTTGAAGCAAAATCCAAAGAACGAATTAGAAACGTCACTCTGTCTCTGACCGAGAAATTGGCGATTCGAAGGACATCGAAGAGAACAGAACGATGGCACCCTCGCAGCTGAGAAAATTTCCGCGCATGAACAAACGAAAACGACGTCAATCTCAAGTTGCTCAGAGCAAGCGCTGATATATGAGATCTAATTAATGGAAAGTAACGTTAGGAGAACGCGCTGGCCAAGCTGGGCGAACTCGTGCCCGAAGACATCACATGCACATAGAAGGGGTGTTCGGCCAAAGAGAGCGACTGAAGAAGAGACGCAGATAAAAATAACGACTGCTGCAGTTATTTACTCCGGCGTGATGAGAAAAAAAAAGACCGCATCGAGCGCGCGCATCGAGCGAAAGGTGCGTGAGATAAATTAGCGCGCCGAGTTGTGTTTGCAGTAAAACTGTTCAGCTGCGCTCTCTCGTCGTTACACGAGCTCGAGTTCCCAGTTCGTGCAACGTACACGGGAGAAGCGGGACCAGCAATTCGATATACGTCCACAACAGCCAACGAGAGAAGTAGACCCCGATATCGAGCTGAACAAAGAACAATCGTTGCACTATCTACGTCACACACACGAAGGCCGTCACGTGCTCTCTGAGTATAAATTTAGAAAACGCTGCTAGAATAGGACGGAAAAGTGGAAAAACGATAACCGAGGTGCCGGGGACATACTGCGGGTACGTAGTAGTAGTGGCTGGATGGAATTCGAGCCCGGCGATAACAAGCGACGTGAGGACGGACAATGACCGATTCAAGTGCTATCATCGTTTAAGCACTCCGCGCCGCATTTGTCAACTAGAAATTGTCCCGCGACATATACACGTGCACTTATGTATTCCGTTCTCCCGTTCTTCGAGGCAGATTCTCGCGCGATCACGCAAATAATTCCCGCAAATACGTAAATTTAAAACACATCTAATAATAATGTCAGCGCGGGCGTGTGAAAGAATCATGAGCAGAAGTTTCCACATATGCGGCGATTGCATACTTGATTAAGAGAAGATGCCCGATAAAGAGAGAGCTCCGGGATATACGGGGTGTCTGACAATTACTGACACTCTCATTGTGTGCGGATAGAACTCATCAAACTGAACGGAAAGTTCCTCTACATTTCGCAAACTAAACCACGTAAGACTTTGAATTATTAATTAATCCTTTCGTGCGGGAAAAAATTATAATTTTAAAACAGATAGACCTACCGACTTCTAACTTGACTTGTTATAAAGAGGAAGGTTAAACCTACATATAAGAATTTAATATACTTTTAAATTTAATATTTTCGATAAAATATAGTTATCTGAACTTTTCAAGATTGCAACTTTTAGTTAACATACTGGCAACGTCCCCTCAGACGCTCCTCCGTTTCGCTCAGCGAATTCAGAAGAGAAGGTTGGACTGTTGCTTATAAAAGTTATGTATAACTACAGCTACAAGTATCGGTTGCATGTAGCAGATTTTGATCCGTAGTCGAAAATGAGTGCATTCAGGAGTTTCTTGTAGCCATAATCTGAGATCTAGTATCTTAAATTTACCTTTTCATATTTTATTTGTAATCAATGATCAGAATAGACCCAATCCAAACTTATATTTTAAATATATGAGTACTTAAGCTTTTCATAGCTGCTATCTTGAATTCGCCATTTTGAATTTAAATTTTTATAATAAATTTGGAATCAACGGCTCCAAAACATCTATATCCGTCTCAGTATGAAGCATATCTCTTTCTAAAAAGCCGGAGATACGAAAGAATACTGCTGAATTATGCGCGAAACGGCAGAGCAGTTGTGACGGCGACGTCGTATGCTTGTAAGTTAAATCAAACTGAACGAGAGAAAATCCTGTATCATTTTGCAAATAACCATGAAGATTTTGAGTTAAAAAGCTTGACACATAATTGTGAGCGATAAATGTTCTTTAATTAATAGTTAAGAATCCATGTGGTTATTTGCAAAATGGTAGAGGACTCTTTTGTTCAGTTTGACCTAACATATAGGCACACACAAAGTCAGACATCGCCATCACAGTCCCTCCGCCGTATCGTGCGTGATTATTCACCAATTTTCCTTCTAATTAATAACACAAAATTTTACGTGGTTGTTTGCGAAATGGTAAAGGAATTTTCTGTTCAGTTTAATAAGTTCATTCCGCACGATGTGTCGTTAATTGTCAAACACTCTGTATAGACGCCAGTAGATCTTGTCATAGCGGAGCGGACCGAAACGGACCGTGCCAAGTAGTAAACGTCAACGCTAAATCAGTCGTTGCCGTTACAGCCACTGTCTCGCAATGAAGCGCATTTTCGATTAATACGTGCCTTCGTGACAAATTGCATGTTGTATGTCAACTGATGTCCGTCGCGATATCTTGCCCCGCATTTCTCTTCCATATATATTATGCATATCTAGGGCACTCTCGTCGTTGAATTTAAAGGACGCTGCCATTGTTCTGAAGTTGTAGGACAACGGTATAACGAGGTTTAAAGAAGTCAGAAAAGGAGAGAGAGAGAGAGACATGTCGTTCTTTTTATCTTTTTAATGGATTTTTTATAACACTCTGTGCGTTATCGTGATGTACGTAAATAAAGTAATTAATTGAATGCAGTTTTGTTTCTAAAAAAAAGAATTCTTTTAAAATTTATTGGTAAACATTATTATATGAAAGGTTCTAAAAATTAAATTATATGAAAGGCTAAAAATTAAATAATTGAACTAAAATGTATTTGATTAAAATATATTTTTGTCTTCAAAAAATTTGATAAAAATATCTATCTCGAAAACTAAAGAAGTTGAAGAAACACGTTGTTCTCTATGACTTTTAAAAACATTTTTTATAACATCTCTACATTTTATCATAGTATACAAACCAAATAACTAAATAATTGAATGCATTTTTATTTATAAGAAAAACGTTTTCAGAACTTAACATTGGTAAACATTATTATGATGTAGAAACCAAATAACTAATATAAAATGTATTTTAACCGAATATATTTGACTAAAATATATCATTGCCTCCAAAATATACGATACTTTTTTGCCTTCAAAATGTGTCCGACCAAAATGTATTTTTGTCACTAAAAATGTTTTAGGAATTCATGGGCAAACATTTCCAGGACGAGTTACGTGACACAGACGAGGCGACATCAACAGACGATCACAAGAGACCTGCTCTTCGTGTCACCCCATCGCGTCACGCGCGTATAGGTTGCCGAATGTCAGCCTTCTGTAACTTTAGCAAAACTGTACTGCTCAATTAATTAAAAAAAAAGGAAAAAAGACGGAAAATATATAAAAAAGGAAGAAAGTAAAGAGCGCGGGACGATGACGCGCTAACACGATGACGCCTCCTCGTGATCGCTGGTCGCCATCGTCCATCTCCTCAGTGCGGACGGCCGCAGTTTCATTACACGCTTCAACGGCCAACTCGTCCTTTGTTGCCCAGGTGGTTCAGCCGCCAAACCGTATTTGCCGAGAGAGAGAGGAGGAAAGAGAGAGAGAAAGAGAGGGAGAGAGAGCATACGACGAAGGCGCGCAGCCACGCATTGCGCTGACCCAGTTCCAAGCCGTGGTGTGCGCTCACGCCAAAACCGCATCTTTCTCTCTCGCTTCGCAGTCGACGGTGGATCGAATCCCCGCGAACGCGGAAGAGGGACGGACAGACAAACGGACGAGTCGCGACGGCACTCACTCGGCGACCCCGTAAATGAGGAGATAGCGAAGCGAAAGTTCGCTGTCGCGGAAGTCGTTCTCGACACACGCGAACGTCGACGGAGGTCGTAAACGAGAAAACTATGTCACGCGAAGATCATCCAAGATATTCTGCGGGCGTGCTGCGAGTATCCCCGAGAGCGAGGGTGAGAGGATTCTAATCTCAGATGGAGTTTCGAGTCGATCTGTCGCTCAGGATGGGTTTCATGAGAGACCCTTGCGGCGCGTTTGCCGCGTAACGTGTCGATTTTCGGGATCGTGCTGCCGGCGATGACTCGATTCCGACAAATGTCCGGTCCTTTCTATGAAACGCGGCGATAATTGAAGTAGCCGTGATGCTGCGTCACCGTCCGCGATTCAGAAGACCCGAGCCCAAATTTTAGCCCTACTGTCGACCTGAACTTTTCTAATATCTGTACATTCTGAAGGTTCAGTGTATGTTTCATTAATCGAAACACACACGATGGATATGTATGTGCAATTAAAAAATAATTGGTCATGCGAAATAATTGGTCATGCGAAAGCTGAAATAATTGAAGTCAAAATTAGCATTATTTACACGTATTGCAGATACGGAAACGGTTTCCAATATCACGCTTTCAATTCTAACAATTAAATTACATTTACGGTTTTAATGAAAAACAAGAACGATAATGAAGACGCGATAAAAGAGATTTGTTGTAATATTATAAAAAATTACAAGATATAATTTTGACAATCTAGTTTTCAATAAATTGATATGTGAAATACATAATTTATGATAACGGTTGAAGTATATGAGTTAAGCTGTAGTGATGTTGTAATGTTTTATGCACTACATTTCCTTTGATGCCTCTTGACTAAATATCTTTTTAAAATCTTTTTAAACATGGTTAAATAATCTTAGAAATTATAATTAATATTTAAAAATGCAATAAATGACACGAGCAGTCGCAACCAAAAATATTAATACGTCAAAGCGTGAAAAATAATTATTATTTAATTATTTCTTTATAGATTTTTAAACATTATATAAGTTATATCGATATTTTCTTGCTATAATGCTAAAACTGTACATCATAAATCATATATATATAAACATTTACCACAGATTTATAGAGCCTCTTTGTGTTGTATTAACCTCAAACAGTTATTAACATAACTCTTTAGCAATATATATTGTCGTGAAATAACTGCCTTAAGGAGATTGGAGCGCTACTCTTTAGTTAATCAATATTTTATTAATAAAATCGTTTAAAATGACTAAAAAATAATTTTACAACAATATATCAGTGAAATAAGATTCGTATAATATGTGGTGGTTTTTTATTTTAGAAGTTATGAGAGATTTTAAAAGGATGATAAAGTAAAAATTGACAGTAATTTGATACCAATAGGTGCGATTGTAAAAAAAAGATATGAGCACGAAATGTATTCATTATTGTATTGGACAAATAATCGGCTTTTATTTAATTTGAACTGGAAATACATAGATGTTAAAACAATAAATAATAAAGCAAATACAGAAATGACATAAGGTTATCTAAGATACCTTATTATCTAAGATAACCTTATAATGTCATTTCTAAGAGGTTATCTGGCGTTAAATTATCATTTACGTGATGACGGCTAGAATTCGTTTAACGCTACAAATGTGCTTCAAAGCGACGGATAGACCAACTATATTAATTTATTTAACGCTCCGAATCATTTGAAGTATCAAATGAACCTTGCTCCTTGCCTTGTTTTTACTCATACATTGTCAATTTCACAAATATTCTCATCGAAATATCAAAATTCCTCTTCGACCTGATGTAAATTTACATCTTACTTAACTCCTTTAAATGACAAAAAACGAACGAAATGCCACTTGTAGGTTCTAAAGAGGATTTCTCGGCAAGGTTAATAGGTTAAATAAAATTAAAATTAAGTTAATAAAATCAAAAGATGTTGATGTTGTAGGCCTCAGAGTATTAAAATAGACGTTAAATGGAATAATGAGGTCGAAAGTAGGATCAAAATTACGACTCGGGGAGTATAAAGTACACGATATACTTACAATTGAGCTTCGCTTTGGGAAATGTAGCAGGCACTTCGGTGCAGCGGCGGATATTTGGAAGAGTCGCCGAAGACTTCTTTAGCCCTTTCTTTAGCCCTTTCGAAGTTTATTAGGGCCACGTTTTGGTCGCCGTCTATGCCGACCAGCTCGAGGCGCGAATCGAGGCCGGCGTGAACGTCTTGAACGCCTTGAAGAACATTTGGACTCCTCGAATGCTTGCGCTTCTTTCGAGGGCTTCGAGGACTTTCGGAAGCTCTTCTCCGGCCCTTTCCTAGCAAACGGGAAAAGACGCGATTAGTGAATACCCGCCGGCGCTTTCTTTTAGACAAAGCTTAACTTTGCAAATATTTTGCAAATTTCGTCCAATGAATTTCTGAATTTTTTGAAAGAGATTCTTTCGTCGAGAGCAAACTCATATCCTATTTAACATAAATTTGAATGATTTTTTATTCGAGGACACACGATTATATCATTATAGATCACTGTACGGAGAGAATATTACAGTTCTTTTTCATAAGAATTTTTAATCAATTTTACTATGGTTTGAATAGCCTAGGAATAAACTATCAATAAGATCTTACGAAATAATATAATAAATTTCGCTAGAAATATTACATTTACATAACATACTTCGCTAGAAATATAGTAAGCATTCTAATTAGTTCTCATTTCAGTTCCTAAAATATAAATAGCACGTATGTAATGAAAGGATAGTGAATTACTGTAGAATGGTGATCTATTTCTCGGTTACTAGTCCTATAGTGTAATTTTTACTATAAATATATAAAATTCTTTCCTCTTGTGTGAGTATTGACTCACTGAGAACAAAGAGACTCACTTTAGCATTTGTAAATATAATTGCATAAAATATTTAAAGTCAAAAAAACTATTTTTGCAGTTGCAAAATAATGATATGAAACTATAATAATATGCAACTATAATGTTAATAATAAAAACCTTATTATATTATATGTTACTATAATGTTAATAATAATAACTTATATGCATATGCTATTGTTATTTGTTATTAAAATAATAAAGAAATATGACGCGCTAAAATTACTATCAATTTTAATAAGATTAACCATTTTTTTCTCTACAAAAAAGGCACGACGAATCACGACTTAAGGATATATTGCTCGTACAACTTATTTATCTTATTTTGTATTATTTCTGACCTTTAAAATTTTATCTTTTGAAAACACAGTGAAACTTTGCATATCTCATTTTAAATACTTAAAGTACATATGTACAAAAATTGGGACTTTTCTCTCATAATTTTTTGATTATCTGTTCATTCGCTAAAAATAGCAGTATTATATATTTCCATAATAGCGTGGGTAAAAATATTTGCAAGTAACAGGGTCACGTCAAATGACATTAATGACGCACTGATAACGTCTTTATCGTCAATGACACGTCATTTGTACGTGACTTGGTATCACTGTATTTGCCGGAACTTAGGTGCCGGTATAACTGCAACGTGAAACATCAACCTCAAACTATATGTATTACTTTTAGATGTGATATTAATGAGTGTGCAATTTTTACAAAATGTTTACATTATTCTCACGATATCTCGAAAACGCAAAACTTTGAGACTCTTTCTTCGCGGAAGAAGCGCTGCGCCTCTCTGCCTATCATTACTCCCAAGTAACAAATCACCCTGACATACCGTTAGATGACTTGTGCTGAGAATGATCCGTCGCACTGTTGAGGTATTCCCCGCAGGGCGCGGAGTCGTGACGTCTGCGACGGTGGCGATGATGTTGCTGTTGCGGCTGGCCCTTCTTCCTGTACTGTTGCTGCTGCTGTTGCTGCTGCTGCTGCTGCGAATGCGGATGATGATGCGACTGGTGGTGATGATGGTGATGGTGATGATGATGATGGTTCAGCGATGAGGAGGCCGTCGAGGTCGAGGTCAATCTAGGTCGGCGCGGACTGGCAGGCGCGCTACCGGAGCGTCGGCTCAGGGTCGACGACGCTTTCATCGCCTCCACCTTCGTTTCCACCAGAGCAGCGAGGACGGCCTCAAGACGTGCCACCTCCATGCCGCTGCCGCCATCGTCCGTCGACACTGCCTTATCAGCGACATCGGAAGTCGACGGCGTCACCGTCATCTCTCCACCTCGCGCTGTCACATTACTCTCGCCAGCGGCGACGGTGATCGCGATGCGATCGGTTGTGGCGCGGGAACGATCGGCCCGCTGCCGGAACGATCACAAGCCTTCTCCCCGCTTCTCCGCGACGACGTTGTCCGCCGAGAGCTCCTGCAGAAATCGCGACAACATGAAGCCGACCTTGCTTGCGCCGCACGAGGCCGCACACGAGGGGGAGCGACGCGACTTTCTTCGATCTTATCGAACGCTACGGTTTGCGAAACGCTCTATTCCGCCGACGCCGCCGCCGCCGCCGTCGCCGTCGTTCATTAATCTTCCGCGGGGTCTCCGGCCGAAGTTGGTAACGATCTTCTTTCCTCGTGATAGCAACGGCTACAGGCCACATAAAAGCCAGCCAGCGATGTTATTCCTCCGCCGACTCGTCCGCATTAACAGCTAGACGCTTCTCGTGCCGTCGACCATGAGGCTATTATCCTCGTCCTTCTCGCTATGTATCTTGCCCACTGAGAAGACTCAGGACAAACGACCTCGCATTCTCACAGGTAGGGGAAAAGGGCGCCCTTCGATCAGTCCTCGACGAAACGACGCTATTTGAGCGAACTGCCTCGTCGTTAACGGCCCATTCGACCAATTGCTTGCCTGCTGTTAGTCGGCGCGAGAGACGGAGTCGCTGAACTATTCGCCAATTGATCAATCAGAGTCGCATGGTGAAAAATCCCCGCGGGTATAATCGAGCGGCCAGTTATAGCGCCGTCGAACGTGCTTGCCTCGTCAGGAAGGAGAGTCTTGGCTCGTGCTGTGCTTCTTCACGGATGCAATCGATGTTCGGCGGACCGTCCTCAACTGCGGCAGTCAGCTTGGTAATACGAATAGTCTTAGGCGGATTATCGCTCCATTATCGGCGACGGCCGTGCATTATCTGATAGCGAATATCAGACGATTCGCCGCGCTCGGCGAGTCGCGCGAATCCCAGTGGTTGCCGTAAATTTCTCCCGACGACTCACCCGGCGCTCGCGTTTCCATCATACGCGAATTCCACCACGGTGTCTGCCTCTTACCAGCTGGTTGATCGGAATCCCGTTGTGGATTTATGCCCACGTCCGAGTGTACGTTTGATCCAATACCACGTGTCGGTGTTGTCCCACGTCGTTCAGTCTCTCATTGTAAACACCGAATAGGTCTGTCGCTTGACGGTGCCAACGTCATTATGATCTTCCAGTGGAAGAAATTTCATACAGTTCGCGAGGACCGTGCGTTAGAATCGCGGCCGCCGCGACGATGCCTCGAGAGTCCTGCGGAGGCTCCAGGTCCCTTAAATGTCCACGGACGCGCACTCGAACGTCGTTATTCGCACTGCGATCCCCGTCGAGACTCCGCGAGTCGCGGCCGCACGCGAAATCGCACCCGTGGTGCGCCCGAGGTGCCGACTCGATCGGGGACCGATCCACGCCGAGTCATCGCCGTCGCGCAGAACCTAGAAGAGCAGCAACAATGACGGATCGACCCTCGCTGCCACGTCCCGAGCCAAAATCAGAGTCGCGCCGCTAATACTCCCTTCTGTGCGACCAACTTCCCTCGACCCGTGCCGACCCTCTACCCACGTAACTAATGACCCCGTTCTTCCGCGCGGCGCAATGCGAAGGACGACGGTCGAAACACGCAGCCATGCTCGGTTAGAATACGAGAGAGGGTTCGTGGCGGATTTTATCCGGGACAGCTGAGCGAGCTGTGTGTATAATTCGGGGCTGAGATTCTCCGCCGCCGAGATCGTTAAGCGGCGAGGATCCCAGGAAAACGTTCGACTGCCCCTCGAAATTCACGAAGAGCAAAATTTCGAGATTGGTGGATTTCGCGACGCTGAGAAAGTAGAGCTGAGATAATAGAGCCCGCAGTTGCGGCGATATTGTTGCACACTTGAACGGCCGCGTCTTTAGATTCTTTCGAGAAAAGACTTGGGAAATGAAGATTCTTCAGAAGCTTCGTGATGGAAGCCGTAATCTCCTGAGTTTCCTTTGAATATAGTCGAATACAATCACTGCTCGAAGAATCTTCTCTACAACTGCATTAGTAACGAAATAACCGAAATCCGTTTATCGACTTGCCTCGAGCGATTGCTTTGTCGGTCGCGTAATTGGCCGCTTCGTTATGTAGCGGACTTAAAATATGAACTGCATATTACGTGTGCAAAGATCAGCACCGTTCGTTATTAGCGCGTGCTCGCTCGCGCACACACGCAGCCAACACGTGGGCACACACAAGTGTCAATGAAACCTGAAGAGAGGTTTTCGGGTACAAAGATGTGAAACACATTCTCCGTTGTATCGAACCCGGGAAAGTTTCTTTCTTGAACAAACTCTCGTTCTTATCATTCTTAAAGGACTCTTCCAGTTTCCCTGATCAGATCGAAGTGGGAGTGAAGATGCCAAATTGATTGAGTGAAGATGCCAAGGTCTTTTCGCGAAACAGAGCGAGAGCAGAAGCAGCTCGTTCCCGAGCCGTCGTCCGTTCAAGCCTGTGGACCGCTCTAACGTCAGAACACCTGGACCATAGCAGCGGCTGGCTAGCGCAGTCGATACGCATCGATACGCTTTGGCAGTCGATTGACCATAAAACCACCCGATACTGCGAGGATACGCCGAGAATACCGGACGACGCAGAGGCGCCTCGCGGTTTGCGAGCCAACCGACGCGACATTCTCACGACTCCGTGCGTACCGCAAGTCAGGCCCAGAATAGCACGAAGAGGGTGTAGGAGCCAGCACGGCCCAGTCGAAGGATCTCGAACTGCCCCACGGCTATCCTCGAGCGCTGGCCTAATTTATCAATTCAGGTCGCCGTGGCCAATCTGCTTACGTTGTCCTCAATTTTTCGAACATCCTCCCTGTTGGAGCCCATCAAGCAACTTTCCTCCCCGAGGGACAAAGTGTCTCTCGGAGGGGCTGGAGAGGGATTGAAACTATCTCGACGGCACACATGGTCTCCCCGAAACGAGAGGGGAGCGTCGAAACTGAACCTACTTCTCGTACACGGGAGAATAGCAGAATATCGAGGAAGAAAAAGAGAGAAAGAGGGAAAACAGGTAACTACAATAAAAGAGTAATATGAAACGTACTCAGATGGAAAACGCGAGTACTAATGCATTTCGCGATATCTCTGTACACACATATACATACACATACACCACATACTTTTTTGTCTCTCTGGCAGAAGAAAAAAGATTTCTGAAAGAAAGTGATTGCACTTAAGGGAATAACAGATTACAGTTGGACGGAGAAATACAGATGTGGGCTGCATAAATAAAGATGCGGCAAGAGAACGAGCTCGGACCACGCAATGAAAACGTCACGAGCGCGAGTCTGCTTGATTTTGAAAAGTTTTTCCAGCGAATAAAGGAGAGCTACCAAGAGGAGGAGCGAGCGAAGAAGGTGTACACAGTAAACAGAGGGAAAACGAGAAGACAGAGTCGGAGATTGAAGTAGAGTTTGCAACCCATCTCCCCGACAGTCACGCAACCAAGGTGTCTCGCGAATATACAAGAGTCTCATACACACATACACGAACACCACTACTCGCCACCTGATTCTCTCGTACTACTTGTACTACTACTACTCACTATTAGCAGCCCGCTACTCATTTGCTAGCGATTCCGTCTCGCGCGGATGCTGGCTACTGGCCGGGCTAGGTCTCGTGTTTAGTGCGAGAGGTCATGATGCTTCTAAACTAAGCCCGTGTATCCTCGGCACGGGCGCGCACAGCGAGGGTGAATCGAGCGATTAGCGTGCCACGCGGGGTTACGTCACGCTAACCCCACGCTGTTAGCTACCACGATTGGCAGCGCTCTCGGCATGCCGCTGTGTGCCCCACGTACTCGTGTACTCTTTCTCTCTTCCACGGCGGGCACCATGCAAACAAACACGCACGTACACAGATACAGCACGCACGCACGCACGCACGCACACGGTGGCGCGCAACCCCACACGACGAAGGGATGCTCGCGTGCGCGGGTGCTAGCGATCGCCCGAATACTGGGGAAGCGTTTCGCGGAGCGGACAGGGTTGGCGGGCAGGTAGCCGCTCTGGCAGGGATGCGTTCAGCCCTACCCCTTCCTACCGACGCCGCCACCACCACCATCACCACCACCACCACCATCGCCGCGACCACCACTATCGTAACCAACTTCGGCGCCGTCGTCACACCGACGGACGAATCCTCTCTCTCCTAGCCGGAGCTAGACGCCGAGGGTGCCAACGAACGGAGATGTTTATCCTTTAAATTCCTCGTTTCTTCGTGAATTTTATTTCACATGCATACGAATGTGGCGGTTTCGGCGTTTTTGAGATGTGGCCTTTTGCGCTTGTCATTTTGAACTGACGAGCGTTACATTGAGGGGGTCCGATATAACACACTTGGGTGCACACAAGTCGAGATTTTTACTCTACTTTCGAACATTCCATTTGATTCTTACTTTGATTTTTCGAATCCAATCTCTTTTAATTCTATTTAACCTACTAGCGCTTTGCTGGGAGGTCCTCTTTAAAACTTACCTACAAGTGGCATTTCGTGTGTTTTCTGCCATTTAGAGGCGCTAAGTAGGACTTCAGTCTCAAGCTAGTAGGTTAAATACAAGTGAAAGAGAGAATCAAAAGTGGTTGGCTTCAGAGTACCAAAATAGGAATTAAATAGAATGTTGGAGTTGAAAGTAGAATCAAAATTTTGACTGATCCCGAGTCGACCTGAATATTTTCGACCTGAACTATCTAATATTTGCATAATCTGAAAAATTAGTGTATGGTTAATTTATATGGAAATTAAAGTCCTACTGAGTATCTCTAAATAGCCGAAAATGCCATTTCATTTATGCCAGGTTCTAAAAAGAACCTCTCGCTGAAATTAATAAGTTAAATAGTATATTATAAGAACTTGATAGAGACTCAAAATATTAAAGCAGGCGTTAAATGGAATATTGAGGTCGAAGGAAGGATAAAAATTTCGACTCAGCCAGATAGAGCACATTAAACTGGACGGAAAAGTTTTTTATCATTTTATAAACAACTGCAATATATAATGGAAGTTTTAATTAAAAAAAATCGGAGAATTGGCGCACAGGGTGGACGCGCGGTGGGACGCTGAACGCATAACTCGTCGCTTGTAACGTTACTCAACCTCCTGCTGCCAGCCGATATTCATCGTTGTTGGGAGATAATCAACAAGCTCAAAATATGTCTCTTCAAATTGCTACAGAGCTGCAGAGCTCATCTCCTCCCATGTACTCATTCGTCAATTACCTCTCTAATTAATATCTTCATAATAAAGGCGCCGTATGTGTGGGAAATGATATAGTATAGGGCTCCTGTTCAATTTGATTTATTTTATATGCAAATGGCGAACGTCGTATTTAGACAGCTTGTGTAACAAACGTAATTTATAAATATTATAAGAAAGCAATTATTATTACGGAATTTGAACGATTCTATCGCGTGTTGCTCGCGTAAGCGTGTTTGCCGTGCTTTAATCGATCGCAACGCTCAATTTTTTTTAATCCTTTAAATAAAAGAACAGCATAGACACGTGCGGGAACGCGTGCAGAGATCATTTTTTATTTAACCGTTTAATCCTCGGTTACTCGCATTCCAAAATGTAACACGAATGTTCCTGTCGCTTTGAGAGTATTTTTATGAATGACGATAATAAGATTTCTAATTAAAATTATTTTAATTCTTATTGAAAGTAGCATACTTTGCAGTAATTAGAAACTTACGAAAAATTTAGTAGACTTTCGCGTCGATATGACAGATCAATAGAAACGGATAGCGATAATAGATGTCTTCTAATTAAAATATATTAATTATTTTAACTTTTATTGAAAATCGCGCGTGTCATGTCGCACTGGCTGTGGAGCCATAATGTAAAGTTAAAGCCGCGGCATCTATATTTCATCAAGCATTAATACTTTTGCATAACGCATAAGGAAATGAACCAATCAGTGTTTTTCATTTCCATCCCCACAATAGAAATAAAGGATTTTTATTGATTCATTTCATTATGCATTATGCATTACACGTTATGCTAAAGTCTATTCTCTCCTCTCACAATCTTTCTCCTTCGCACGCAACTTGAACACACTTTTAGTGCCCGTATTTCTCTTCCATATACATTATAGGGTACAGCGGGGGAATTTGGATAATATTAAACGTTTGTGACAGTTTCAGAAAAATATGAGACGCTTTGTTTTGTGTTTAAGGTTAGCATGCTATATATTCATATTTTTATGCTATGTGTCATATTTTTCTGAAATTGTCGTAAACGCTTAATATTATCCAAACTCCTCCGCTATTCAATTTACCCCGCTGTACCTTATATGTTCTGAGCCTAAAACGCGGCCATTGTTTTATTATACCCACGTGGCCGGCTCTGCGCGTAGCGCCATTGATCGACAGCGCGAATCGCTTTAAATCGATTTCTCCACTCATAAACGTCATAGCGACTTGAAAGAAAAACTGTTGTAAAGTGGATATTACTGTATTTCTGATGTACTTCTGAGTTTGTTTTTCTGTGAAATAAATATCGTGAAATAAAGATTAATGAGCCAATCATGTGTGTGTGTGTGTGTGTGTGAATGCGAAAAATTAAGTTTTGTGTTCGCATTAAAATGGAAATCAATCTATGTATCACATGTCTGTGTAATGATACACATTCACCGTTATATAACCACCATTGAGTTTTTCGTTTACGCCTCGTCGATCATCAGTGACTATTATGGATGTGTTGAAATACATATAACACGCAATTCCTTACGTTTATAACATTATGCTTAACAATAATACAACGGATTAAGTGCATTGGTAAACGAATTAATATTTTTATTTACTACAGTAAAATTTAAAAATGATTATACGCAAATATTATGATGAGCCTTATTAAAACGATTGTCGCGAATGGAAAGTCAACTAAAATACTTTTGACGGGAAATCCAATAAGGAACCTTGATCTGCATATAAAATGTCAATTTTATGTTTTTAACAGTAAGCCGACATATTTTTATGTTATATTGGCCTATTAAATATTTACCTGTAATTCTGAAGTTTTCTGTATACTTTTGTACTTTATTCAGGTTCAAAGAGATTCATGCGAAATTGTAATTTAAAGTTTATCTGTCAATATATAATATATTGCTCGCGGCTGCGTATGCGCCATCGTCACTGATAAATACATTAATATTCAAAGAGATTGTCCTTTCATTGCTCTGCAAATGTGACAAATCACATTTTGATAAATGGCGAATTACCGACGTTAATGTTAACGGATTACTTTAATTATCCACGTTGTCCTATACGTTCCGAAGTTTTCACAAGCTAAAACCGATTTTGCGGTGGAAGTTGCATTAAGCCAGGCTTATCGAGATATAAACCATTTTATTACTTACTACAGCAGCGCAGTTACATGTTGCGTTACAAGGATAGATCGCAATGCTCGTTACAACGCATAAATGTAAAATCCTACGCTCTGATAACGTCGTTAAATGTATTACAACGCGTATTCCAATGCAAGACGTTGCGGATCGAACGAAAGAATCCCGATTATCATATCGCACGGGACAAACGTAAAAAGTGACGTTTGGCGGTAGTAATCTCAGCCGGAGGGGCACAGCAGAACTCTCGCGCCACTTTTCTTCATTAACTCCTTCCTGCGGGAATGAGAACGAATTGTGGCAGTTGTTCCCGCGCGGTAGGGTGCTTTCACCAGTTTGATTAGGTCGGCCAGCATTGAGAAAGGCCCTCGGGCTGACCTCGTCTTTGTTAAAACCATCCTCGTGGCGATCCCTTTCGTAGGTTCTATATACGCTTTGAAAAGCGCCTCCAGTCCCGACCATCGGGCCTTCTCTTCGTTTGCGAAATTTCATTCGCTCGGCATTTAGGGAGAACGCGCGCCAGCCACGCGAAACTGGCCGCGATAAGCAACTGCTGCCACAGCCGCATATGGCTTCCCGGTGCAATTTCGCGGCGCAGCATGTGTGGGCGTAAAAATCTAGCGGTCAAATTTATGTGTCGCGACAGCGGAACCGCCGAAATAAATTCCATCGATCGACCTGTAGCTTCTTGTGGCTCGACGTCCCAACCGAAAAAGCGCCTTCGTCCACCCACAAGGCCTTTATCGCTCACCCTTCCCGGCGTGACCTCGGATCGCTCACGCGAGATAAGGAGATTAGCACGTACGCTGTTATCTGAAAACGTGGCGGAGAATCCCGCTGGAATCAGAGACGTTCCAGGGGCGCCGATGCATATCAAACAGAGAGGGAGGAAGAGAGAGAGAGAGAGAGAGAGAGGGAGAGGAAGCAAGGGAGAGAAGAGAGAGAACACACGTGCGCAGCCTGAACAACGAAGTCCTTTTCTTTAAAGTGGAATCCTTCCAGCGAATTAATTTCAGCACATACGGTATTCCCTGCAGAATGTTTTCAGGGTATAGTGATGAAACGTATAAGATCGCCGTTTATTATGAAATGATATCGCTGTGTATTAAAACCAAGTCTTTAATTATTTACCGACTATAGCCGAGACTTTAATTATTTACATTATTTGTAGTCTCCCTCAATTCTGATTCGCGAGGTCAAATTCTCCCGGAATATCCACCTATAACAAAAAATACAAATTACTTAAGTAGTATATATACAATTTCAAAGTAATACAATTAAATTCTATTCTCTAATTATTACTCCAATTCAGCACTGAGAAAAAAATGTTTGGTACTTGTAACTATATAATTATATAAAGAAATAATAACTATAAATTATGGTCCAGAAAACTATTTTTTTTTATTCGACCATTATTTATAATGTTAATGATAATCTTATGTGCATGTTACTATCACCACTTTTGTGTTGTTTGAACAACCAAAAAATATGATTGGGATAAAAAATAATTACAATTTTAGTTAGATCAACCATTTTTTTGTCTCAGTGAATGAAAATCTACGTCATTTATAAGGAAACAAAAATATTAACGATATTTTTATATGCTGATTTTCAATAACAGATTAATTCTTCATCAGATTATTGAAATTTGACTTTGCGAAATGAGCAGACACAGTAATCACGTTGACGTGGTTGAAAAATTTAATCCGTCCGGTAGGCGCGCTGCTTGCCGTGAAAACAATTCGGCCTACGCAGAAGCTGAGAGTAGGGCAGAAATCAATTTCTGTTCTTCTTGTAGGGCGTGGTTTTGATGGATTCCGAGGGGCATCTTATCGCGAAAGAAGTTTCAACGGCAAATCACATTGGTGCATCTCGCGAAATAGAATTCGACGTAAACCACGGTGATGCGCTGCGCGTCGTTGCTCTTGGCGATCTCTATCGTCGCGAATGTGAGATGTCATGACACTCTCTCTATCTCCCTTTTCTCTCTCCGAAAGAGAGGACGTACTGCTTGAACGAGTGCTGTGCGACTCGCGAGATACTCGTGGCGCTGTTTTTCAGGGAAGGAGACCAACATGGGCTGTGGAAACGTTGCATCGTCCTCGTCGCTTCTCAGCTTTAAGAACAATGAGACGACTATGACGAACGGTAGCGTCAATATTGGTAGGCCCACCTGAAATGTGGCGACGTGTGAATCTCACGAAATATCGCAAATTAGTCGTGAGAAGGAATTCACATACTTTCGTAAATACGAACTGTATGGAATATTGCACGAGAGTGGTATAAACGATCGCGACGACGGTGGCAACGGTCGTCTGGCTATTCAGCACTAATAGATTCCCTCCCAAGGCGGCCCCAGTCAGCAGGCTGTTGTAACCCCAGTATCCGTTGTAGATTTCGCCGTACTCTGCTCCGAGCTCCAAGCCTAACAGAAAATACATGAAGACACAATTTATGCTGCTCGCGTTTTTACTTTGGGAGGCTATTTCTGGCTACTGATTCTCCTGTTCAGAACGAAATTTTTAATCGACTTAAAAAAAGAATATTCTCAGTTTTTTCGGTAGTTATTTTCGCTTGTATAATCACTTATGAACCGAGAATCGTTGGAGATATTGAGGTAAAATTTTTGTCGCTTGTTCAACATATTACTTAAGTGATTCTTGGTGTCATTACCCAGGTTTGCCCTGGCTGTTTGCAGGGGTTGACCTGGAAATTGGGTAATTCCATTACTTTCTTGAAAGCCCAAGGATATCGCGAAATGCAAGACGAAACTTTTATTTCTAACCGACCTCAAAGACAAACATTTAGTAAATGATTAAAAAATACAATATAAAAATTTTTTACTAAAAATTAACCGTCTTCAAAAGCTTCAAAAACTCCCAAAAAGTATAAAATAATTTTGACTCAATATTCCTATATGCCTATAATCCTATTTTAATATTTTAACGACATTAGAAATCGGCGCGAAGAAAGAAAATTAGGCAGGTAACTAATTATGTGCCTATTCAGGGAGTTTATTTGAGGTTCTTGAAATTAAAAAAGCTTTTATATTTATTCGTGTGTACCATTGATTATATAGACAATAATTGTACAGTGAGAGATTAATCTGAAGTGCCCGTCTCTCACCGATCTCTCACTCAAGAGATCTGCATGTGTTTCTTTTCTTCTTATCTTGGTTTGTTAACTTCGGGGACTATGCAATCAAGTATTAATTACATATGTGGTACTGATAACCTTCCCATATAAAGTAAAGATATAAGTAAATAAATAAAATAGTCATGCAAGGATTGTCCAAGCAATTACCTGCAAAACACCCGACAAGAGCACCAAGAAACGAAAACGCGGCCATTGTTGGCGAAAATAATAGTATCGCCAGATACACGACGGATCCAAACATTGTATTATCAATGGCGAACACCTGCGACGGAGCAACAATGATACCTCGTACCAACTGAAAAGCAGGATTTAAAAGTTCAAGCACAATGGAAATAAATCGATGCCTTCGTCAATGCTCATTCAACAGTATTTCTTCTTTTCTAAATAAAAAAAAAAAAGGAAAAACCCACGTTCCAATTTATTTACGTAAACCAATAACCGCGATAGTACAATTATATAGAAAGAAATTCTATCGTAACAAACATCAATATCGTAGCGCTGTTCGCCAAAACGAATTCTTTAGTACGACTATTGTTTGATAACTTGACCGATAACTCGATATACAGCAAAATTACCGCACGATAAGAGTTGCCGAAGTTGAAAGTTCATCAAGATACATTGTAACGAGCTTTGATTGCAATACTGTCGCGATCTAATGCATATTATCGAACAATATGAAAAATAGACTGAAAGTGAGAAGTAGCTGCGAAACTAACGAGAACCTATTGTATTCGTTAAGAGCCGCGTGATGCTAATAGAAGCGCAATCAAGGATATAAAGTTGCAAAAAGTGAAGCACAAGTGAACTTTACCATTCCCCAGTCAACGTTGGTGGTCGCATTCTGTACGTAGAAACCGGCGCCGTCCACTGTCGTCGTCGTCGTCGTCGTCATCGTCTCACTTGTTGCATTGTGCTGAAAACAATGAGAGAGTCTTGCACAATAACCCGCACACGATGGAGAAATGCACGGCGGTGTCTCGACGAGTTCGGAGAAGGTAAAGGTTCAAACTATTTCATGGTAAAATATGTTTTATGAAGAAGTAATTTATGTTCCATCTCGTATTGACCTGAGTCGTAAATTTATTCTTTAGCAAGAAGAAGAACAAGAAGAAGAAGAAGAAATTTGTCTCCCGAAACGTACAATTGTACGTATACTCTCGTAGACAGGTGCGATTCATTCTAATTTCGTTGTGCGCGTTCAGACGTTAGACTCGCATAAATCATGAAACTTATTTACATTGTACGAGAGTGCAATTAACTTTGCCCGGAGAGTACATGTGACTATTATGGCACGAACATAGTGCGAACATTTGCACGTCGCGACGTAACATTTGATACATTTGCCTACGTATACATACACGCATGTACACGCGCATAGCGGATGTAGCTAGTCACAGTAATGTGCAATATTTCCAAATATTCTACTGTTACATTACTGTTTACCAACTCTGCAGATCCTGTAGAGAAGAGAAATGTGGGGAGAAAGAAAGGGAGAGGGGAGAAAGGAGGGACACGCCCAATATTTAACTGAAACAAACAACTGGCAACTAGTTAGGATTAAATAAATCCGAGCTGTGGTAAGTTATCGTTGACGGAGTTGTTCTGGCTAGAGTTTGATCAATACGGAGGAAAGCTATACCACGACCCACTAGGGATAGCATTTTCCTTCGTGAAGGCGCGTCGAATATGTATGGTCTGAATACTAAGGCCGCTTTTCCCAGAGCATTTTATCCCGCGCTGAAGCCTCCGCCCTATTCTACTTAAATTTACCCCCGTGACCTACTCTCGAAATTAAAGTGAGTACCGTCATTCAATCGGTCATTTCTTGTCATTTCTTGCGAGCATTCCTGGCAACGTATGTCAATTAAGACACTTTTGATATGTAATATGTTTAGTAAATATTAAAAGGTTTTTCACCATCGCGTTAACATTACACGGAGAGAATATAATAATTAAAATTTACTATGTTTCCAATAGTTACAGAAATATTAGTAAAGTCAGTTAGTAAGGTCTATTTTGCTAAGGAATATAGTAAATTTCGTTAGAAATATATGGTAAATTTTTTAAATAGCACATTTTAGTTCCTGAAATATAAATAGCACATATATGAAATAAAAGGATAAATTGCTGCAGAATGTCAATTCATTCTTTGATTACAAGTTTCTATAATAATTTTTACTAAAATAATAATAATTTTTACTAAAATTTTCTCCATATAAAAGAAAATTGTTGTTATTAAAAAAGTTTCAATATCATCTTTGACTTATTCCAATTGAAGTATCACAATAATTTTCATAATATATCAAATTATAGAACATACTTTCGAATTTAATTATTATACTCGAATTTATTCGATATGGTATTTTAAAATTTTCTTTCATGGAAATTCATTATAATTTAGGGAGCAAATGTATCAAAAATAATATCTGACAAAAATAAAATGTTGAGAGAAATATTATACAGAGATCAAACATGATACACACACACACATACATACATACATTTTCATTATAAAAAATGCATTTAAAGAAAAATCTAACGTAATCTAATTTTACTGCACTCGCCCTTTCAATCCTACAATATTATGCATGTTTATGTGCGTGAGTACATGTGTGGAATTGTTGAAAACTTTCAAAGCACACGTAACGTATGTACGTAACGTAGAATTAATTTACCATCTCAAACATCGGTTCCACGGAATCGGTTACCACGGCCGTGCCATTCCGCGTCGAAAGGGCGAAAATCAACGCGAACTCCACCAGGTTAAACGGCCACGTTGTGCACGGGAATTTATCGCTTCCCAGGGACCGCGCGAGATAAACACTGAAAACATTAACCAGGAGCTTGTCGAGAACACCTCTGAAATTTGCGAACGCCACCCAGTCACGTTGGATGATGAGTGAATTGCGGCCAGCTCGTAACCCCGTTCGCCGCATAATCTACCGTAGCGAACTATTTCGATTATCTTCCATGAATCTCAAACGGACTGTCACGGTGTGTATGCAGTTCCCGCATGTTTCTCGAGCCATCTATATTAAATTCATAATGTTCCAGCGCGAGACATTGTCAGCGAGCGAATACATATCAATGTGAAATCTGATGATGTTTTCTTTCATTAATATATATTTCTACTTCATAGTCGAGATGCTATGTCTAAATAAATTCAATCAAATGATATAATAACAATCAAATAACAGAATTCATAAAAAAGAGAAAAGGACAAAGTAAAAGTACGAGTGTTTGCACATGTATCTAACTCTGGACACTCTTATTGATTTGGTTTTCAAACACAAATATTCAAAC